GTTGGGAAAGCTGACTCTCCCCCCTACCAGCTGTGCCACAGCTGGCACCAGGGAGAACTCAAGCTGGTCCATCTGCAGATCAGAACTGTCTGTCCCTGCCCTGTTCCCTGTTTGCAGAGGGAAGGCAAGTGGAGGGTCAGAGCTCACCTGGGGCTGGGATAGGGCTCCAGTTTCTCAGGCAAACACCATCTATTTGATAGTTTAGTACTGGCAGGGGTAGGAACCAAGGGGATGCCACAGAGACTCGGGGCATTCTGTACCCAGCCCTGATCCATTTTAAAATAGTAAACTGTTATGGGTTGACTGGTGTCCCCCTAAGAATCATATTTTGAAGGTCTAACACCCACTACCTAAGAACATGACCTTAGAAATAGGGTTATTGCAGATGTAATTAGTTGAGCCGAGGTCCTTTAGGGTGGGCCCAAATCCAACATGACTGGTGTCCTTAGAAAAAGGAGAAATGTTGACACATGTACACACACCCATGAAGTAGCCATGTATAAAATAAAGGCAGAGACTGAGGTGATGGCTCTGCAAGTCAAGGAATTAGCCCTGTTAATGCATGGGCTTTAGTCAGCTGGATTTTTATGTAAATTTTAAAAATTTATATATGACAGCAGAATGCATTACAATTCTTATTACACATATAGAACACAACTGTTCATATCTCTGGTTATATACATAGTATATTCACACCAATTCATGTCTTCACACATGTACTTTGGATAGTTAATGATCATCACATTCCACCATCATTAATTACCCCAGGTCCCCTCCCTTCCCCCTCCAACTCCTCTGCCCTATCTAGAGTTCTTCTATTCCTCCCATGCTCCCTATCCCTATCCCACTATGAATCAGCCTCCTTATATCAAAGAAAACATCCAGCACTTGGTTTTTGGGGATTGGCTAATTTCACTTAGCATTATCTTCTCTAATTCCATCCATTTACCTGCAGATGTCATGATTTTATTCTCTTTTATTGCTGAATAATATTCCATTGTGTATATATGCCACATTTTTTTTTTATCCATTCATCTATTGAAGGTTATCTAGATTGGTTCCACAGTTTAGCTATTGTGAATTGTTCTGCTATAAAGAAACATTGATGGGGCTGTGTCCATGTAGTATGCTGTTTTTAAGTCCTTTGGGTATAGAGGGACAACTGGGTCAAATGGTGGTCCATTCCCAATTTTCCAAGAAATCTCCATACTGATTTCTATATTGGCTGCACCAATTTGCAGTCCCACCAGCAGTGTATGTGTGTACTTTTTTCCCCACATCCTCGCCAACACTTATTGTTGTTTGTATGCATAACAGCTGCCATTCCATCAGCTGGATTTTTGCGACCTCACTGTTGGCTGGCCATGGAATCTCTGGCAGAGAGATTACATAGGAGTTGCTGTGGTGCACCATCCAGAGCCCCTGCAGGGGGCTGCCCCTCCAGGACTGAGGCCCTCATTCTCCCAGATGCTGGGTGTGTTGGTAGTGATGGGGCCCAGCTGTGTTTCTCTCCGAGACTTGCACTCAACTGAAGAGAGCCACCTTGCCTAATCACAGGCTACCCCTAGACCATTGCAAATGGAGGCTTGATGTAGGGATATAAAGGCCGGGTCCTGGTGCCTTGAGGCAGGATAACTCTGCTGCATCGAGTTTTGCTCCTGTCCCAAGATCTGTCTCAGTGCGTTTTCTGTGCAAACGAACCTATGACAGTTGGTACCAGGAAAGATCCTGGGAACAGAAAGTAAAGTGGGATTTTGGCATTGGGTCACTTTTTGGCCAACTGGCAATGAGGACCTCAGGCACACAGCTGTGGCACAACTGTTAAAAGTTTTCCAGGTGGTGAATTGGGCTGGGAACCTGGTAGAAGGGAAGGCACTAGAGTGTGCTGGTCCCTGTACCCTGTGTCCTTATGTTAGAGTGGGGAACCAGAGTCTGGGTTCAGTTTTAGAGCCATGTTGGTGAAGTCCCCATCCACAGAGAGTCCTGTCCCCTGTGGCCTTGGTTTCCTACAAGATGAGGGAGTGGGATGCATTGATTGGAAAAGCCAATTCCCTGAGGTTCCTCCTGGCTCCAGCATCCTGCAGGAGACTATGAACCAGGGAGAAGGGGGTGGGGGTGGGGGTGGAAGCACCATGCATCCAAGAATGTGAATAAGCTGAGTGTGAAGGGTGGGGGTGGAGGGCCTGGAGGAGACATTCTATGTCCGCATCTTGCCTGAGCAGTCTGTTTGATCCTGTGCCCAGTTCCCCTGGCTCCTCTCAACAGATGCCTGGGCACCTGTAGCTGATTTAACTGAGCGTGGATTTTAGTCCACTGATGTGAGGATGGCCTCAGCCTCCTAGACTTCTCTTTCTTTGTTCCCTGTCTTCCCAGAGCCTGGAAGAAGTCATGAGCTCAGGACCACAGACATCGCAGATGTTGGAGACCAGCTTCTTGAAGGTCACATGGCTGGCAACAGAGACACATCCACAGCTGGGATCCAGTAGTTCCAAGCTTGGGCTTCTCCCACAACCTGCTGGGCCTCCTCATTGAGGGAACACGGAATTGCTCAGCCAAAGTTGAGAAGAGATAATGGGGACCATGATTGGGACAGTGGAAGATTTTATTTTTGTTTGCTTGTTTGTTTACCTATTCCAAAATGAAAATGATTAACTATTTTATGGGTATGAATGTATTTTTGCAGTACTGGGGATTGAACCCAGGTACCCTCTACCAATGAGCGACACCCCCAAACCTTTGTATTTCTTTTGAGACAGAGTCTCACTGAGTTGCTGTGTTTGACCTTGAACTTGTGATCTTCCTGTCTCTCAGCCTCCTGAGTTGCTGGGATTATAGGCATGTGCCACTGCGCCTGGCAATTAACTATGAAGATTTTTTAAAAATTCAAAATATATAGTTTAAAGAAACTAAAAATAAAGTTTAAAGAAAGTAGAAACTGCCCTTAAATTCCACCAACTGGAGAGAGCTACTGTTAACAGTTTTGTGAACAGATTTCCAGACGGCTCTGTGAGTGTGTGTGTGTGTGAGAGAGAGAGAGAGAGGGAAAGGGAGAGAGAGAGAGGGAGAGATTTTATGGTAATGGGACCATATACGGTTTCATAACCTGCTCTTTTTATTCAACAATCTGTCAAAGGAATCTTTCTACCTCAGTAAATATAACTCTACCCTCCATTTAATGGTTTCAAACTATCCATTGCAAATGAAAGTATAAACCGTCTTTCATTTGTCCAGCCTGATGGTGGGGGCATATAGAATGTTTCCAGTATTTTATTGTTCTCAAAACTTCGGGGTGAACATACTCACACCTTTATCTTGGCCATTTTTCCAACCTCTGTTGTAGGTCCAATTTTGGTTCATTTTTCTTAAAAAAAAAAAAAAATTCCTGTAGCAAAAGAGGTCACTGTGTTGCCCCATTTAATTGCAGAACCTTGATTCCCAGGACACTTGAGGCTTCTCCCCAGGGGTTGGTGGCCTTCCTTCCCAGTGGTGCCACACATGTCCAGGGGGCAGCTTTTTCCCTGGGGCAGTCTGGATAAGGGGCCGGGAGGAGACCTCACCCCATGCTGTAAAATTTCCAAGTTCAAATCCAAAGATGTGACTAGTTGTCCCCATGGATTCATCTGCTCCGCTTCCTGCTGGAGTCTAGTGGGTCTTGCTAATGGCCTGCCACTCTGCAAGGGACTTGACTTTCCTTATAGGGTGTCACTGGGCCAGGCAGAAGACTGAAGAAATGAGCCAGAGGTACGTGGGCCTGAAAGAATCCCAGCCGGTGTGGGACCTGGGCTTGGTGCTGGGTTGATCCACTCACTAGTTATTTTATTGAGGTCAAGGAAGGCAAGGTCACAGTTGCTGGAGAGGAATGCACAGTCAGATAATCATAAGTGTGACAATCCACTCACTTTGGAAGTGGGGAAGGGGAGGGGAACACCGATGGTCCTAGAGGTTGTCATTCTCTTCGTTGGACTTTAGTCTATACCTTAGCCAGGCAAGGCTTGTTTAATTAATTTATTTATTTTGTACTGGGGATTGAACCCAGAGGCACTTACCACTGAGCTACATCCCCAGCCTTTTTTATTTTTTATTTTAGATAGAGCCTTGCTAAGATACTGAGGCTGGATTTGAACTTGTATTCCTCCTACCTTAGTCTCCCAGGTCATTGAGATTACAGGTGAATGCCACCATGCCTTGACCTTGTTTAAAATTTTTTAAAGACAGACTTGTCTATTTAAAGAGCAGTTACAGATTCACAGCAAAATGAAGCAGCTTTCCCACCTGGCTTCTGTTTTCACACATGCACAGCCTCCCCCATTACCAACACCCCTACCAGAGTAGTGCCTTTGTTACAATTGATGACTCTATACTGACACATTGTTGTCACCCAAAGCCCATAGTTTATATTAGGGTTCACTCTTGATATTAGAAATTCTGTGAGTTTGGACAAATGACGTGTCCACCACTATAGTGTCACACAGAGTAGTTTCACTGAAAGGCTTATTTTCAAAAAACAAAGGGAGAGTACCTTTCACCTTTATAATTACAATCCTCTCTTGTCCCAACACATACACATACAACTTTTTGCTAAGGAAAGAGATGTGGTGAACCTATTCTACTATATTCAAAGGCAAGGTTTCCTCTACCCTTGAGGCATGTCACAAGTCAGAGGTTGCTTTGCTAGGGTACAGTGATTCCATCCAGGGGTGGGCTTGGGGCTTTGGAGGAGGCCTTCCAGAGAGACAGGAAGGGAAGGAGCAAACAAAATCCTGGGGTCTGACAGGCCAATCGACCCTGTTTTACTGAGATTCCCAAGTTGTCTCTGCAGAGGTTGAATGTATACTCCTGAGCTGGTGCATACCAGCATGATCATGAAAACCTCTGTCACCCTCACCAGTCACTGTCACTTTGGGACAATGTCTGTCCAAAGATGGCCTTCACAAAGTGCTTTTTGGTTTCTTCTTCTCAATGAAACTGTGGGACCTCACACTTGCTACTCCTCAGAGAGCTCACAGAACCAGCAGGTGCTTTGGGGATCTATCCAGGACAGGCTGAGACTGGGCCAGAGTAGAGGAAGGTGGGCTTTGGGGCCTCTTCCTCCATTTCCCATTCTTTAATTCTTTGCTCACAGTACCTAGATTTCCTCCTCCTTCTCCAAACTCAAGCCGTGTACTTTCCCCAGAACCAGGCCTAAATTGGTTCATGTATCACAGAGGTTGACCCATGACCAAATCCTAAGGGACTCAGGCTTTTGCTGCAGCTTCAACAGCCAGTCCCACCTGACTCACAAGGTATGGGGTGGGGGACATGTCCGCAGAGCTTTCCCACGGCTTCTACTGGGGACAAGTAAGAACCCCAGGGTCAAGGTCAAGGAGATACTTAGAAACAATTCCTCTTTGGGATTTTAAAAGTCTTATAATAACTGAACTAAATTAGTATAGAAAGCTCAAATTCTGTACTCCTTTCATCTAGACACTGATAATATGTGACATCCAATCCCAGGATGTCACACATTCCCAAGGTGACTTCCTGACCCATCCCTAAAATCCCCCCATCCCCTGTCCTGGAACTCCCAGCTGGGACCAACTCTGGCTCTTGAATATGGCCACACAGGGCATATGGAGACCCTGGAGGCCTTTAGGTTCATTCCCCCACATGGGGAAACATGTCCCTGAAGTGGCAGTGACTTCCCCAGAGTCCCACACAAGTCACAAGGCCAGGCCAAGAATTCAGGAGCCCTCTGGGCCTATCTCACACTCTCCACCATTACCACTTGTATTGGGTCAGGATGTTTTCAGAGGAAACAAGAGGAAACTGCAAATGGCAGCTAGGGAATCGGGGTTAGATCACTGGAGGCCTGTGTACTGCCACTTGACACTAGTGCTCAGCTCTCCCCGCCAAGTTGTCCTTTTCCTTTGCTTGTTGCCTCATATAGCAAGGTAATTGCTGCATTTATCAGCTATCACGTCTGCTCTCCAGGAAGGAAGAAAAGAAGGGCTCAGGGGTGAAGGGCTATGCTCGCCCAGTTTGTTCCTCCTGAACAGACTTCTTGAAACCCACACCACGCACGTGTCCCCCAAAGCACATAGTTTCCTTCAGCCAGAACTCAACTGTCTGGTCCCATAAATGAATGTTTTTAGGTGGGCACATTGCCCTCCTGAACAGAGTTAGGGTCTGTTAGGAGGAAGAAGGAAAGAAGTGATTGGGTCAGTGGCAGAGTGGGCCTCATAGTTGTTTGGGTTGGGATCTTGGCTAAGAACACCCTACCCAGCAAGCCACCAGGCCCTTCACATCCATCCCCTTGTCCTAAAGGTTGGCCACAGTAGAGAATGCAGTTTGGATTTTCTGCTGAATTAGAGGTTTCTGGAGACTTCCAAGCCAAGAAGGAGGTGGAAGGGGTATATTCTGACCACACGCATCCTTCCCAGGCTGATATTTGGATTCTCCCTTCTTCCTAAAAACCCGACTTAGGCTGCTAGGGTGGGGAGTACCGTGGCCAGGGCCAGAGGGAGGAGAGAGCCACATGCTGGGAAAGAGTGGTGACTGCATGCTGTCCCTCTCCTGCAGCTTGTTGAATCCACAGCCGCTCAAGCACCTTCTTGACCATCCTACCTCTCCCTGTGGAGACACCCTCCCCCAGGCCACAGGTCCCCTGGGCAGGGCCTAGCTTCTTCCACAAGGGACTCTAACCACTCCATTTCCCCACCTAAGCCTTGGACTCCACTGGGACAGGCACCTATTGATGTCCTCACTGTGTGTGAGCTCACGGTGCCTTAAACAGTCGTTCAAAGCAAAGTGGATGGACCCACAGCATCAGCATCACCTGAGAATTTGACAGAAATGTTAATTCTGGGACACCCCCCTTCCCGAAACCCACAGAATGGAAACTGAGAAGGATGGGTAGGAGCAGCAATCTGTTTCAACAAGCCCTTGATGTGATCTGACACACACAGGAGTGCAAGAGCTCCTGGCATATAATGATTCTCAGCTGGGAAACAGCTTCAGGGTTAGTAGTGCCAACCAGGGAAGGAGAAATGAAGAAGCCCACCTGGTCCTCTGCACTTCAGTACCAGCCAGAAGCAGCCCTAGGAAGACTGACTTATAAAACCTGGTAGACCCAATTGAGTCAAATGTATGAAAGATGATATATCATGAGCTTTGTAATGTTTTGAACAACCAATAAAAAAAAAAAAAACTGGTAGAGCAAAAAAACCACTAAGAGACTATTCAAACTTCCCATTGGATAGATTTGGGAACTGAGATTGAGGGAGGAGCAAATATTTGCCCAAGGTGAATAGCAGACATAGACTAGAATTCAAATTTCCTCAATCCTAGGTAAGTGATCCAATTTTTTTTTTTCCCAAATTGAGATATCTTTTAAAAAAATCGTAGCATTTTGTCATTTCTACAAAATGCTCCTTCAGGAATATCTTCTCACTGTACACACCAATGGGAAATGGCCTGTGTCCATTGGCAGGTAAAATCTAGCTGTGTGAGAGGCTGCAGTGATGGTGGGACAGAATGGACAGGAGTCAAGGGAGAGGGGAGTACAAAAACCTCCACCCGCTGAGGGATGGCAGGGTTCAGACTCTGACCAAGCAGGGCCCATCTATACTTCAGTACAGGCCCAAAAGCACCCACTGTGAGGACTTAGAGATCCGCTCCTCTCTCTCCCCCACCAGTGAGTTAGCACCCAGGGTGTGGGTGGCTTATTTTAGTGACACAAGACAAGGGGCAGTGGAGAAGTTTACATCCTCCTCTGTACCCAGTCCCCGGAGAGCGGACAGGACACCCAAGGGGCTGAGTGGGTGGAAGCAGCTGGAATGTGCTGGGGATGGCTGAGGCACTGTGGGGGCCAGAGAAGCAGTCCAGATGGGAGAAGGAAGCTGGGGGCTTTGCTGGCTGGAGGCCCAGAATGGTCCCTGATTTTGGTTCTTGGATAACAGGCCTCTGAGTGGAATCTGCCATTCTGGGTGAGGCAGGACAGTGAGTCTGAGCAGGTAGGCCTCTGAGTACCCAAGGAAACAAAATGAATCAGTAGCAGAAAGTTTCTATCAGAATCCAAGCCTCTGCGTGTGCAGGGTTGTTTGATTTTATTTAAAAAACAAACCAACATCTTTCATGAGCAGTAACACAGCCCTTACTATCACCTGACAATCAGATCGTCACTTACGCAGCACTCATGCAAATCACACCTTCCATAGCACACAGTATATGGCACCACATTGGGTAGCACGCTAGTCCAGGGTAGCCACAGAGACATAGACTTCTCACTGCACAAAGTTCCCTTAAAAAAAAAAAAAATCAAACAATCATCAGGTCTAAGAAGAATCACACTCTCTCTCCAGTGAAGAGGGTACCAAGGTAGGAGGCCTAACTCCTTCTGGCCTCTTGCAGCGGATGAGGGCTGCCCTAGCATGGTGGCCAGGACTCCTCAGGATGGTGTGGCTATCACCAGGATGCTGCCAGGGCCTTCTTCACTGCTGAGACATGTAAGGGATAAGCCCAGCGCCCACAGGTGGGGGCGAACCACCAGGAACCTGGCCTGTCATCAGCATCCCCAAGGCCCCCGCAGACCAGGATACAAATAGCTCCAGGCCCACGCGGCTCTCAGTCTGCTGACGAGAGCTGTTTGCTCTCGTTTCTTCTTCCTTTCTTTCTTCTTTTCCTTTTTTTTTTTTTTTCAGGGAACAAAATTCAGAGTAAGCTTGGAGTTCTGGAAAACTTTTTCTGGCTCCTCAGAGAACCATGGCAAAATGGAGTGGAGACAGGACTCTCTCCACACTCTTTCTGCTTACTCTCACAGGGGTCAGAAATTGGGAACCCTTTCTTTGGAGCACGTGGGCCCTGGACCCCATAGGTACAAAGTTAAGGGAGAAGATGGAGCTTACTAGGGTGAGAGAATGGCAGATCCTGAGAGAGAGAATGGCAGGTCTTCACCCTGTTCTTCAGAGGGTCTCCCCCTATGGGCTACCTGGGCCACATCCTGCTCCTTCATTTTGCAGTAAACAGCAGCACAGGTGTCCAGAAATAGGCTGAGGGGTTAGGGGAACCACAGTGGGGCAGGGAGAGAGGATAATCTGAGACTGAGCCCAGAAGAGGAAACTCAGGAGTGGATTCCATCTGATGGGCTTTGCCCTGGGATGGAACTGGATTCACCAACAGATGTGTTTTTAGGCAGGATTACAGCCCCCAAGCCTGCATCAAGCCCCCCACCAACTAATCCCTTACTGAGAAGCATTTCCTTCTTCTGAGGGTCCCTTGAGGGTGTCATCCCTACAGTCCAGCTTTGCTCTCCCTCCACGGCCGTGCAGAATCAGCTGCCCACACGCCCACTGGAGCCTCAGAAGACAAGGACAAAAGGCTGAGGCGACCAGCGGCTGGTTCAGAAGTGTGGGAAGGAGGTGGTGCCGGCGGGAGCCGGGGCGGAGGCGCAGCGTCCTCTGGGCAGCTGGCCCAGCAGGCGCTCTCAGGTCCCCAGGCCGCCGCGCAGCAGAGGGCCGCGTGGGAAGCGGGCTCAGCGGTTTCCTTGGCGACCGGCCTTCTCCGCAGCCAGCCACCGGCTCCAGGTGGGAGGCTGCAGGTTGGCAGGGAGGCGCTGCCAGCTTGGGCGGCGTGACTGGGCATCGGGCCAGCCGCCTCAGGTGGCCAGGGCCAGGCGGCTGGGGGCGGGTGGCTCCGCGGGAGGGAGGGGGCTTTGCCTTAGCCTTCATCTCCATTCCAGAAACTTCTCGTTGGGTCAGAGCGGGAGTTCTGGGGAGCTCTGTGCGTGGTTCCTCCCGTTCCTCTCCAGCACGCGACGCTTCTCAGGACAGTGTCAGCCAAGGCCCTGCACAGACTGGCCTCGGCTGCGGTTCCTAGCAGGTCGCGAGGCCAGCTGGCCCGAGTGGCGCTCAGAGGGCGTGCAGGAGGAGGCCAGTAAAGAGCGGCAGCAGCAGTGGCAGATGGGGACCTGGGGGCTGGGCAGCCGCTGGGGAAGAAGGGACAGTTAAGACCTGGAAGCCCTGGAAGCCCTGGCACCGGCCGTCTGCTTGCATGCAGGACTGTGGGCGGCCGGGTTTCTGGGTGCTCGGCTCGCTCCAGCCCCCTCTTTCTATCTACCCTTTTACAATTATCCGTTCTCTTGGTTTCTGTACATATTCATTCCCGTCCAAATTATACTACATGAATATGTATGTCGTTACCTCAGATCCTCTTTGGAATATCCTTTTTAGCGTTTATGTTCATTATCCAGGGCTATTTGGGTGACATGGCCAGTTCCTGCCAGAATTGTCTGCAGTTTCCCTGTTTAGACCCTCCCAGAACTCTTCCTCTGAATGGTAGGTGAAACACAGGGGGCCTCTGTTCTGCTGGCCTGAGACTTAGAGTGCCCTCAGCTCTCAAGGTTTTAGGGTGAAAGGGTCTGAATGATGCCAGGGGGATGTGACAGGGCCCACCTGTGCCGGAGCACTGCTGAGACAGCATCCCTTCCAGAGCTGCCACGTAGTCAGGTCCCAGCCAGTCAAGGTATGAGGTTTTCTCCCCTACAGGCACTGCCCGGATCGTAGCATCCTTGAAAAGCAGGTCTTGGCCATGGTATTTGGAGGAATCAAACATTTTGAACCCGTTCGTATTGTGGTCGTCTCCAAACAGGTCCTGGAAGCACCGCAAGCAACCAACTTTTCATCCAGGCTTACAGATGGTTACAGGAGACCCAAAGAGCAAGTAACTTCAGGGTACCAAGATTCTGATTTGAAGCCATCAGCTTGACCACTTATGGGCCTCTGTCATGGAAGGGGCTTGGGAAAATCTATGTCTAGAGGTATCACCTTAAGATAGTGGTTCAAGAAATTACACCAAACCACTTCTTGGATGAAGAACAGAAACAAGAAGACCCAGAAATGAGCTATGGTGTGGATCAGATTACTAAATTTTTGCTAAGCTTGCTCAGCATTTTTCAAACTTTTTGGATACTGTTTTCTTGATGTATCTTAGGGGTATCTTTTCCTACAAACCAAAATAATCTCATCAAGATTGTCACCGGTAATAAAATAATAGGTGAGTTGAGGATATCTTCACTAATCAACTCCCCCTTCTCCAGTGTCCAGGCAATGGTGCTGCTATTCAATTCCTTGCTGGGAATCCTTGCATTGAATGTGCTGTGAACATCCTGAAAGAGCTATTAAGAAGACCAGAAGTAGTGTGAGAACCTACTTTATTCATGAATAAAGGACATCTGGAGATCAGGAATAAATGTCTGTCAGCTGATAAATATAATCAAAGGGGGAAGGAGAAGTAAGTGGCTATCAATCTTTTTTTGAGGGGACTCAGATCCTCTTGAAGATCTGATGAGAGCTGTCGGCCTTCTTCCCAGAAAAATGCATGTGCACAGAATTCTTTCCACATTACTTCAGAGGGTTTAGAGACTCCAGGGAAAGCCCACAGGCCTGGAGTAAGGAACTCCTGGGATGGAGGAACTCCATGGGGAAGACAAGCGGAGAACATAAAATTTTAGTTTGGGAACAGGCCTGAAGAGCCAGTGGCTCTGGAATTCTGTGGTGCTGGTGGGCAGAGAGCACCGTTTCCGCCTAAATCAATGGAGGAGGGAAGAGGGTTGGAGGTTTGAAACCAGGGGCTCCTTGGACAGCTAGGCTCAAAATCTAGATGCATTTTGGAAGTAACAAACTGTGGATGGACAGGATGTAGAGCACAAGTCAGAGATGACTTCTGAGGAAATGGAAAAACAACAGTTGCTGTTAACTGAAGCAGGCAACTGGAGGAGGAAGGAGGGTTCACCCTTGGACTTGATCAGTTGGAGATGCCTGTTAGAAATACAGAGCGAAGTATCAAGTAGGCATGTTAACCATATCAGTTTGGGATGGAAATATGGGATTGAAATCAGGGCTGAGGATGTACATTTAGGAGCCATCTGTGTATAGATGGTCGTTAACGACATGAGGCAAGATGAGATTAATGAGGGGATAAGTGTAGACAGAGAAGAGGGCTTAGGACTTATTTACATCCTTATTTACATGCCAGGGAGGTGAGCAGGAACCAGGAGAAGAATTGGGAAGGAGAAGCCCTAGAGGTGGGAGGAGAGCCAGGCAGGTGTGGGGACCTGGGACCCCCTTCTAGGGGAGGGACTTGAATTTTCAGGAGGAGGGAGCTGTAGCCAGTGTTACAGGGAAGTCAGGCACAATGAGGATCAAGAAGCAGCTGCTGGATTTAGCAACACAGGTCACTGTGATTTTGACAAGGACAGCTTGAGGGCCATGGTAGGGCCTGTCTGGAGTAGTCTCCATTCTTAAGAGAGAACTGAAGGAGAGGATTGATGACTCCAGAATAGAGGTAACCCTTTGGAGGAGTTCTGCTCTCAAAGGGAGTGGGTTATAAGAGCCTGTGAGACCAAGAGGGTTAGTTTGATTTTTACAGATGGCAAAAAGAATAACAAATACAAATGTGTTATTAATGAAGGCAACGTCCCCTGCATTCTCCACCAGGCATCTGCCACACAGAGATGTTGATACGAATGGCCCAGTTGAAAAGGAAAAATTAATGATGCAGGAAATAGGATAGTTGCTGGAGGAATGTCCAGGACTTACCTGGGCCTTGTCCAGCAGTCCATACACAGTGAAGATGTTGGTGTCTGGCCGCACCATGACAGCATGGGATGGTATCTGCGCCAAGTGGCAGGCTTCATACTGGTTGGCCTCAGCCCGGGCCCCGTTGGGGCATAGCAGCTCATACTCCTGCCACTTCAATGCAGCAGCCCAGGGCTCAGAATTATGGCCTGAGGGAGGAGCACAGGACAGGGAGAAGTTTGGGGAGAGGCCACTTTCCTCCCAGTCTGAGAACCTTTGCTGGGCAGAGGTGGCAATATCTGGCCAGTTCCACAACCCTCTCCATTCTCCAAGTCCTCTACTCTGTTACCGGGGTAACAAAGCCCACTGGGTAAATATGATTAGCAGGAGCTTCTGTTAGGGGGGACCACGCAGAGCTAGTGGGCTTGTGCTGGGAACATGGTTCCCTCCTCCTAGAGGATGGTCCCAAGTATTCTGGGTGGTAGGTAGGCTCGCGGCCTGGAGCCTTCCCGGGCTCTGTTGAGACAAACAGTCCTGCCACCTTGGTGACCTCTAAAGGCCAGTGGGATCTGAGTTTTAAAAGACTGATATTTTTCCCTGCGTGTCTTGCTTCCCCTTGATCAATCCCAGTATCCTTTCTGTGTGGCCTCTGTGCCTTTCTGGGCTGAGTCTTGGAGAAGAGATGTTAGGACACATTGTCATGACTAAGCCCACAGTGTTTGGTATTTCAAAGCCTGGGACACTGCAGGGTAGGCAGAAAGTACGAGCACTGGGTGTTGGGGAAACAGCCTCCAGTCACCCCAGAGGACACAGGTCCTCTGAATGAGTGGGGGCCCTGCAAGCTAAGAAGCCCTACTATGAAAGAACCTCAAGTGGAGGTTTAGGGGACCCTGGGGAAGAGTGATGAGGAGCTCTTTTCTCAGGTGGAAGCAGGGAAGGTGATTCCAGTGTAAGAGCTGCCCATGTGGTGTGTCTGGGGTGGCCCTGCCTTGGCAAGGCTCAGAGCCGGGGGGGGACCTCCCTGCTTGGGGCACCACCCTGCTAAGGACCAAAGACCAGATGCTGATGTGACCAAACTGTGAAGAGGCCCCTGTCACTCCACCCATGTGCCTCAGCACTGCTTAACAACACCCCGAGAGCAGGTCTCCAAGCTGACTGAGATAGAGTGTCGACACTTTAGTGGAATATGGACTTGATCCCAGATCAGCAAGATCATCAAGTACCCTGACACCTGGATGTGAGGCTTGAGGTTCCTTCTTACCTTGTGGTCCTTGGGGCTCCTAGGCTCCTGTGGGCAGAGCCTTCTAGACTCAAGCTCTCCCAGCTGCTGTTTGGATCCCAAATACAGAGACAGCCAGTGCCTGGATTGGGCTGGACGGGACAGCCCCTCTACTCATCCCCTGCTCTGGGCAGCCCCGTCACATACCGTTTGTGTTGTCAAAGACAGTCGTGTGTTTAACGAAGGCAACGTCCCCTGCATTCTCCACCAGGCATCTGCCACACAGACGGCAGGGCAGGGGTCAGAAGATGGTTCCAGCCTTTGTGCTGGCCCCAGGCCACTTGCTGGCTGCCACTGCGTACCTGAAGGCACCACTGTCACCGTAGTACCGCTCCTGGCTGTTGCCCACACACTTGTTGCGGCCCTGCTCGTCCCCCACACAGAGGGCACACAGAGAGGAAGGGTAGCTCTTGGGGTTGTTCACAGGCACACAGCTGGCATTGAAGAACTCACTCACCGCTGGAGGAGAGGGGAAGGGCTGAGATGAAGGGCCATGGCAGAAAGATAGCCAGGGCGGTGGGTGGATTGCTCCCCCACAGATCTGCCCACCAACCTGTGCTTAAACTCCCTCAGGGATAGGAGACTCACTGCCTCATATGCTTTTCTTTTCCTATCAAAGCAAGTGCCCAGCTGTCTGAAAGAGGGAGCTGCCGACCATAATGCCCTCTGAGTGATTCCATGGGTATTTAGAAAAAAAAAAAAAACAGTAATGTGTTTATTTTCCCTGTTACCAGCTAGGACAGAGGTCTGTAGCCAGTCTGCCCAAGGATCTTGCTGGCTTCCCACGACTTTCCTTCCACCATGAATTATCACATGATTTCACACCAAGAAGAGCGGCTTCGTGCCTGGCATATGGCGGGTGCTTGGCAAATGTGTCTTCCCCATCTTAGCACTTGTGTGGATTCTTGGGCACTTATGTGGAGCTTGGCCACTTTCCAACTGGGCATCCCAGATGCCTAGGGACTGCTGGGTGATGGGTAAAACCCTATGACCAGCTGGTGACACAGCTAGGTCCAGATACATGTGTGTACACACTCATACCCATAGGGTTAGTTCCACTCAGGTCAGTGGTGGACAGAGGGTACCTGGGCAGCGTCCACAGAGCCACCAGGAAGCCATAAATACTGTGCGTAACATCAGGCATAGCTCCCAGCTTTCCCTATAGACAGGACCATATCAAGAGGGAAGGGGAAATCTCTCAGGGCTGCCTTCAAGAGGACCCTCAGTGCTGGTGGCCTTCCCATCCTGTCAAAGAAGAGTTCCCAAGCCTGTGTCTCTTGGAGGGCAGTACCTGTCAGGATGTCACAGTGCTGAGGCCTGATGAAGCCTCTCTGGATGAGGGCGCCCACTGGCACGTCCCAGCCTGCTGGGCTGCCGAAGCCTGAGTGGCAGGAGCGCTTGCCACGCAGCTCGTCCAAGGTGAAGGCGTAGGAGCTGTCCCGCCTCACCACAGCCACCACGAAGTATGAACTGCTCCTGTCTGCCTCTGAAAGGACAGGGACATCCCACGAGGGGTCTCCTATCAGAGTCAGGACCAATCCCCACGGGTGTTTCCTTAAACTTGTCGATTCCTGTTTCTCTGCTTGAGAGCTGTGATTGCCCTGGGGCTCTGCAGGCTCAGGGGTGACCAACCCAAGGCCGTCCAGCAGCCTGTTCAGCAGCCTGTGTGGCTCACTCTCCAGTCTGGACCCCACCCACTCCCAATAGCCCCCACTCAAAGCACTTTCCTTCTTTCCTCACACCCAGGTGGTACTTTTCTCACCTACTGGGAGAAAATTGGAGGCACAGCTGAGGGTTGCAGCATTTTCTCTAAACCCAGAGATTTTTCACAGCCAAAGGAAAGGACAAAAGGCCCCCATGGTCATCACTTAATAGGACAGAGGCCAAAGCCCAGCCCAGCCCACTGAGAAGGTCTGAATGAGCCTACAAGGGGGGATCCTGAGTGTCTCTTCTGTGGGCTTCCATAGTCAGGGCAGGGAGGGGCTGAGGATGTTCAAAGTCAGCAAATGCCACGGTGGCCTGTATTTTTATAGCCTGGCTTGCAAGCTAACAATTTTTAAAATATTTATTAATTGAGTGTTTTAAAGGAAAAAGAATATTCAACAGAGACTAAAGTCTCTGACTCTTTACAAAAAGTTTGCTGAACACTCATACGTTGCTGGTAGGACTGCAAACTGGTGCAGCCAATATGGGAAGCAGTATGGAGATTCCTTAAAAAACTGGGAATGGAATCACCATTTGATCCAGCTATCCCTCTCCTCGGTCTATACTGAAAGGACTTAAAAACAGCATACTACAGGGACACAGCCACATCAATGTTTATAGCAGCACAATTCACAATAGCTAAACTATGGGACCAACCTACATGCCCTTCAGTAGATAAATGGATAAAAAGAAATGTGGCATATATACTTTTATCTTTTATTACTCAGCAATAAAAGAGAATAAAATCATGGCATTTGCAGGTAAATGGATGGAGTTAGAGAAGATAATGCTAAGTGAAGTTAGCCAATCCCAAATATCAAATGCCGAATGTTTTCTCTGATATAAGGAGGCTGATTCATAGTGGGGTAGGGAGGAAGAGCATGGGAGGAATAGATGAGCTCTAGATAGAGCAGGGGGGTGGGAGGGAAAAGGAGGGGGCATGGGGTTAGAAATGACAGTGGAATGAGGTGGATATCATTACCAAAAGTACATGTATGAAGACATGAATGGTGTGACTCTACTTTGTGTACAACCAGAGACATGAAAAACTGTGTTCTTTATGTGTAATATGAATTTTAATGCATTCTGCTGTCACATATAACAAATTAGAATAAAAATTTTTTGAAAAAAAATTTGCTGATCCCATAGGGATGTTCATCGTATAGATGGGGAAACCAGGCCATGGCAGGAGGGATTTCCCTGGTGACAGAGGCACCCAGCCTAGGGACAGAGGCACTAGGGAGAGCTGGAGCTTCTGAAAATGCTGAGGGGCAAATTTTCATTTTTATAAAGACATCAACCACCACCCAGCGGAAGCCAGACAGCTGGCACCACACTCACCAGAGTAGAGTTCCCCAGCCGCGGGGACCAGGCCATACACCTTCCCTGATGTGTAAATGTCCTCGCCCCTCAGGGTCACAGCATCGATGTTCCCAGCCTACAGGGGACAGAGAGATCACCATCCCTGCCTTCTTGCTAGGTGTGGGTACTCCACAGATTGCCTGAGGTGTCTCAGCACCGGGCCAAGGGCTGACATGATGTGATTGTAAGACACTTCAGTCAAATGCATGCACAAATGGGAGAATGACCTAGGTCTTAGGTGACTGCAGTCTTAGGGCCTGTGGGAGGAGGCCCCAGGGTTGAGACACCAATCCCCTTGTAGGAGGCAGCTGAAGGGATCCAGGGCCCTCTTCCCTCAGACCCTCCAGGAGCCCCCCAGGTCACCTGTAGCCCACCCCATTTGTCCATCTGAAGCCTCTTGGCAGGTGGCCCCAGGACCCTGCTAAGGGTAGCTGGTAATCCATAGTGGCCTGAATAACCCCAAGGGAAGGGGATAAGGCCAGGTAACAGAGGGACCCCGGCAGCCCAGGAAGGTGGCCCATACCTTTAGGCCCAGAGGCATGAAGTACTAGTGGGCAGCAGCAGTGGCACTACATTTCAAGCCTGAAGGGTACACCTCTAGGGGCCCCTCTCCCCTCACATAGACTTTCTCTCACCTACTGCAGTGTCAGGGTGGACACAGAACCTGGACCCCCACAGCCCAGGATCCTGCCTGAGTGAGGGTCCCTTTCTTGGGTCACTGCAGCTGCACAGGAAGTAGAGATAAGAGCCACACTGGATGCCACCCCTGAGAGCCTTGGAAACTAGAACTCAGGATCTTTGAGCATCTTACTGGGTTCCGAGGAACCCTGACCTTTGCTTCTCTTCCCGCAGCCCTGGGCAGCCCATTCATTGGCCCTTTGCAGCCACTGAGAGGAGGCTCCTGCCTAGAGGAAGCCTCTTCCCACTTCTCTAACTCCTCTGGGGCCCTGGGAAAGGCATCTGGAAATAAAGTCCCCAGCCTCTCTTTCATCAATTCCAGCTGAGGTGCCTCCTCCATCTGTGCTGCACACGGATGAGCTCAGCTCTGCAGAGACGACTTCCCGCAGGCCCTAGGCAGAGTGGCTTCTCCATATCTGAGCTGGTGACCTTGGGTAAGGTACTTCCTCAGCCTCTCTCAGCCTCCATCTCCAGATCTGTGAATGGAGCTAATGACCGTTCTCACCCCCAGGGTGCTTGTAAGGATTCAGTGAGGTAATCTGCACGGTAGGCTCAGTGGTGACCAGGTGTGAGCCAGGTGGCCCCTTTTATTACTGCCCATGCTCCTTTTCTTGACTTTCTAGGCAATGTGCTTCCCTGGCCTGGGCAGGGAGGGCACACCTGGGGAGCTGTGACCTGTGCTCAGGGACTGCCCTATCAGCCTCTAACTCCTTGCCCTTAAAACAGGAAGAGTTCAAAGGGCCCAAGACTGGACACCTGTGATCACAGTAGAATGTCCTCCCTGGCTGCAGAGACCTGGGTTCCTCTCTGCCTTCTGGCCTCAGTCTCCAAGCAAAGAAGCAAAGAAAAAGGTTTTTGTGCACCAGACAATGATTGATATGAAATATATTTCTGAGTGTCTGTTGCTTTCAAAAATATTTAGCAATGATGCAAGCCCACCTATTGTGCACAGGGGGAAACTGAGACTAAAGAAGGAAAGGTGCTTTCCCAAGACCACAGGTCTATTCCTGGCCCACTGTGGTCCTCCTTCACTGCTTTCTCTATGGCCGTCTCTCAGGAGATGTCCTCCTCCCCAGGCAGCATGGGGCTGGGGGGATGCTAAGGACCATCCCAGGCAAAACCACCACATGCCCACCTGACCCACTGTGGCACACCTGGATCTGCTCCATGCAGTGCTGGGGGGACTGGGCCGACACACACTGGATCTCAGGCTTGAGCCTCTGCCGGCTGAAGGCCACCGCCATGTCACCACACTTCTGGATCTCGGGTGTGGAGAGCACGCACCAGCGCAGGTAGTGGGGCATCCCTGTGTGGGTGGGCGTGTGGACGCTGGTGTTCAGTGGGAAGAGCTTGAAGTCAGACCCAAGGGAAACTCTGGGCCTTTCTCTTGTTAGCTGCGTGTCCAGGTTACATTATTTAACCATCTGATCCCACTTCCTCACACAGGAAGGGGTGATCTGCCTCTTCCATGGGGCAGTGAGAAGCTTGAGGCAGATCACGGCTGCCATGTATCTGAGTGTCTGGCCACCATTTCCCTGGTTGGGGGAGGGCTTATAGATAGGGTCAGGGACTAGAGAGACGAAGCCCATTTGTAGACTACTGCAATACTCCAGGCAATGCCAGAGACAGGGCTGAAGCCATGGGGTGGACAAAGGGAGGAGGAAGGAGAGGTTGTGGGGGCAGAACTGACAGAACTCAATGGCCCTAAGACAGACCCTAATGGCTGGGATCCTGCCTCCTGGAGCAGGTGGGGTTTCCAGGGTCCAGAGGTCCAATAACCACAGAGAGGCTTCCCCCACTAGCCCCAGAGGCAGAGAACTAGAAATGACCAGCTCCCATAGGGGCCATAGGTATATGGCAGGTCTCCTAGGTGAGTGTCCTCCCCTGCCCACCCACCTCAGAGACCCTGCCATGCCACAGTCAGGCTGGGGTGGAGCTGGCAGGAGTAGGGACAGGGACTTACGGTTGGGGTCACAGAGCAGACCCTTCATGGCATGCAGGTACTCGCGGCCCAGCCATGCCTCATAGGTCTGCGTGGCGATGGGCACGAGCTCCGTGGTAGAGTCCTTGAACAGCAGGTTCTTCTGACCATAGGCCTCAGAGCTGAACATCTGGAAGCTGCTGCCCTCATGGCTGAACAGACGCTGTGTGTCAAAGGTGGGTGTGGGGGTGAAAAGGGTGCTGCCAGGCCACACTCTTCCTTCCCCAGCTCAGACACCACCTCCTTCTCCTACTATGAGGGCCAGGCGAGGCCCCCCTCCCCTTCAGGGCCTCCCTAAGAAGAAGAACTCTCCTTCTTCTGTGCTCCTCCAGTTCTGGGTGTCCATTCAGTTCATCTGCCTTGTCACATCCACCCTTTGCACAACTTGGTCTAGGCTGGGTCAGTACTGGGGACAAGCGATGGCTGGGCAGCTGCCGTGTGAATGGGGTGAAACCAGATACCACGGGGTGCACCCTAGAGTCGGGAGTGTATGGCTGCCAGAAGCAGAGGTTTCAGCAAAGCATTCTTCAGCAATCACTGTCAAACTCTGAAAGGAACTGGACTCATCCTTTGGCTTATTTGCTCATGTGTTCTGATTTTGATCTTCAGAGGCATAGGCACAAGGAGTTTTCTCTGAGGGATGCCTGAGGCTCCCTGTGTCCCTGTCTGGCCAGACCTCCTCCCTCCCATACTGTGGGAGAGAAGGCCCAGCACCAGCTGGGAGGCTTTGAGGGGTGGGGTGCCTCGTCTCACCTGGCCTTCATTGAGCAACCTGAAGATGAGGCCCCCGTCCATGTCAGCCCGGACAACCACAGCGTGTGCAGGCACCCGAGCCAGGTGGCATCGCCTCCATTCAGTGACATCGGCTCGGCTGCCATCTCTGCATAGCAGCTCAAAGTCCTTCGACAGCAGGGTCTGGCCCCAGGAGGGCAGAGTTTTCCCTGTGAAGATGGGAAGGCTGGTGAGCCACCTCCTATCCTAGGGAGGGCAGCCAGAGGGACAGGAGAGGAAGCCTGGGGGCTAGGTGTTATGGAGGTGAGAAATAGCACCACAGGGCTGTTTAGGGGCCAGCTTAGGGGTACACCTCCAGGACCTGGTGTCTACATGGTCTGCGTCTATTTGCTTATATTTTCTACCTCTTACCAGTTTCTATTAATAAATCAGATTTAACAAATCTAATGGCAATACAACACATATACATAAGACTACTTATTAAAGATAAAAAGAGTAAGAAAATAAGAGAAGCTCAGGATGAGAGAGATAAATGTACCAAGAAGGCAGAGGCCAGGGGACAGGGAGCAGGGAACATGGTGAGAACACACCCTGACAAAATCTACCCAGAACCATACGCCAGAGAGCAAAGGGTAACTCCCCAGAGCCTTACCCGTAACCCCAGTTACTAATATTTTGGTCTATTTCCTTTAAGTTCTTTTTTCTAGCCCCACCCCACTTGTCTCTATAAAGTATTTTTCTATACTGTTAGAAACTTTCCACAAAACTTATTTATTTCCTATTAGGCCTGGTGGTATACACCTGTGACCTGAGGCAGGAGGATTACAAATTCAAGACCAGCCTGGGTAACTTAGTAAGACCCTGTCTCAAAATAAAAAATAAAAAGGGCTGGGGGTGTAGCTCCATGTAGGTGTAGAGTACACCTGGCTAGGTTCAATCCCTAGTACTGCCAAAAAAAAAAAAAAAAAAAAAGATTTATTTGAAAGAGTGACATCAACACTGAAAATCAATATTAAGAAGACAGATTGACTAATATTAGGCACAGAACTAAGCCACAGATGGTCCTACATAACAATATTTTTTTGAGTTTTAAATTTACAACCAGAGGTGAACCGCTGCTAGGAAATAGGAAGGAACAGATAATTTGTGGGGTCATAAAAACTTTCATTCCAAAGTGATTTAAAAATAACACTCCCAAACAACAGGAAAACTCTAGAAATGTTTTTTTGTCTGTGACACTCTTGTTACTCGGTGCAAATCTCTCCCTGCACTCTCCAACTTTTCTCTGTTTCTAAATTGCTGCAAAACCTTTGCATAGATCTCTGTGGTGTCATTTGCTTTCCTACAAGATAAAGGTGCCATTTGTGTACTTCCATTCATTACTCTTGTTTCTCATCTATGAGGGTCAAAGTTATATTACTTTACTACTTTAGACATTTATGTCAATTCCACTCATTGGCTGTTGTCAATTTTTTTCCATAAACATCCTGTCCTAGGATCAAGGAAATTGAAGAGCTCCAATATCTAAATACCACATGTGATCACACACAGATAGGTCGTGGATCTGAAAAAATTGCTACAAAAGACAGAGTTGGGACAATTGGTGAATCTGGAATATCGATTGCAGATTAGGTAATAGTACATCAATGGCACATTTCTTGATTTGATTTCATGCTAGGTATACCTCCTTGTTCTTAGGAGATGTGTCCTAAAGTTTTCAAGGGGTATGACACAGGCAAATGTACTGCCTGCCACACATGATAGATCAAATGTGACCAAACTCTGAAAGCTGGAATCTGGGTGAAGAATAGACGGGAGTACTTTGAATTATTCTAGCAACTTTTCTAAAACTCAGTTATTTCAAAATGAAGAAAAATTTTAAATGACAACTATATAATGGACCAACACATAACATCAACCTTTTTTTGTTTTGGGTACCAGGGGCACATAACCACTGAGTCGCATCACTAGCCCTTTTTATATTTTACTTTGAGATAGGTTCTTGCTACATTGCTCAAGGCCTCACTAAGTTGCTAAGGTTTGCCTTGAACTTGTGATCCTCCTGCTTCAGCCTCCTGAACCACGAGGATTACAGGCATGTACCACCTTGCCTAGCACACCAACTGTTATGGTTTAGATGTGAAGTGTCCCCCAGAAGCTCACAGGAGACAATGCAAGAAGGTTCAGAGGACAAGTGATTGAGTTATAGAGCCTTAAGTCAATCAGTGAACTAATCACTTGATGGGATTAACTGGGTGGTAACTGAGGGCAGGTGGGGTGAGGCTGGAGGGGGTGGGTACTGGGTTGTGCCTTTGAGGTATATAATTTGTATCTGGCCAGTGGAGTCTCTCTCTGCTTTCAGATCATCAGGTGAGCCACTTCCTTCCTCCACACTCTTCTGCCACGTTGTCCTGCCCACCTTGAGCCCCGAGGAATGGAGCCCACTGTCTATGGACTGAGACCTCTGAAACCGTGAGCTCTCAAATCAACTTTTCCTCCTCTACAGTTGTTCTGGTCAGGTCTTTTAGTCACAGTAGCGTAAAAGCTGACTAACATACATAACGACCTATCTTAAATAAGACCTTGCCCAGGGGGACAAGGAATGGCTTTTCAGGAAATGGGAGAAAAATGCCAGAAGGGACAGTGGATGAACTCTCGTGAAACCATCTTTAAAAAGGCAGATACCGATTATCAAGTTGAAACGGAAGGAACCTAATGCCACATACAAATCAGAGCCTCCTCTTGCTACTCACTGGCCCCGCACCCTGCAGAGCCCGTGGGAGACCTTTGATGAAATGAACTTCCTTTCTGCAGATAGGAGTGCTAAGGTTCAGAGATCACGGGACTGGTCCAAGGTCACCCAGAGACTCAAGCAGCATGGAGCATCTGGTACCATCTGGGGGCCCACCCCAGTCAGCCTGGGCCTTACTTACTCACCATCAGTGTTCTCCAGCACAGTGCTGTGCTTCACGAAGGCCACGTCCCCTGCCTTTTCTGCCACACACCTGTGGAGGAGAAACCATGATCCTGGGTGGGGCCATTCTCCCCTCAGCCCCTGGGTCCCACCCATATTCCACTGTTGGAGGTGTAGCCTGGGCTTCGGGGGTGGCCCTGGGACACACATTTCCTAGTCCAGCAGTCCCAGGCTCCATCTCCCTGGCTTGCTGACTGTGTGGCTTTGCCAAACTGTGGACCCTTCCTCGCCCTATCATCTGTCAAGTGGGGATGAGAAAGCAGCTCCCTATGGGGTCGCCATGAGGAGGAAAGATTCTTTATAATCATATACATCCTGAATATGATCCTGCTGAAGCAGGGAATCTGACTAGAAGATCTTCTCACACCATACCAAAAAATCCTGAGTAGTAGTGGCCTTGACGCAGTTATCTATATGAAAATGCCCAGTGTGGGAGGCAGGTCAGGGCCTGCTAGGAAAAGGGACTACTTGGTTCTCTCTATTTTTTTTTTTTTTTTTTGTACTGGGGATTCAACTCAGGGCCACTCAACCACTGAGCCACATCCCCATCCCTATTTTTGCATTTTATTTAGAGACAGGGTCTCACTGAGTTGCTTAATGTCTTGCTTTTGCTGAGTCTGGCTTTGAACTCACAATCCTCCTGTCTCAGCCTCCTGAGCTGCTGAGATTACAGTGTGCACCACCATGCCTGGCAACTACTTGGTTCTCTACAGCCAGAAAATAAGCAGGAATTGGACCAGGAAAGAGCAGAGGACTCTAAGAGGCAGGCAGGATGGGCAGGCAGCCCAGGACATGGAGGAGGTAGGGAGGAGTGTTTTCATTTCTGTGCAAAATCTGCATTCACCCAGGCCACCTCCTGGGTATGGGGACCAGCAGATATCCCTGCTCCAGGTGCAGACACTGAGGATTGGCAGCTAGAAATGCTTAGGTTTCCATTACATCCTCTCATTTGGAGACAAATATAATTGAACCATGAGCTGTTATACTCTTTGGGGTCCTTGGTCATCCAAAGTACCAGCCTGAACTAGCTGCAGAGAAGGGACCAGACAAAGTGTCCAGTTGTACTCCCCCACCCCATGGCCCTCCCTGCTGGTGGGAGACACCAGAATGGGGTCCCGGAGTAGCCAAAGGGTGGCTTTTTCCATTTTCCTTTCTCTGAGCCCTCCCTTCTCTAAATACACCAAACATGTTGACTTTATGAGCAAATCCAGCCTGGCACATTCTGGTTTGATGTTAATAAACGAGCCAGGGCACAGCACAGAACTGTATAAAGGATGCTTTGATACACTGCCACTCCCCGTGTGGCCTCTCTGGGCAAAATGTTTTCCCTCCACCTCCCACTCAGCTTCCCTCCCTGTCCCTCTCTAGGCACCCTCACCGGAAGGCTCCGCTGTAGTCATAGTATCTCTCCAGGGGGCTCTTGTCACACACACCCTCCCCAGAGGTGTCACCCCGGCAGAGGCGACAGAGGGACTCCGAATATCTGGTTTCTCCTGCTCCTGGGACGCAGCTGCCCCCAAAATAGTCACTGACAGCTGTGGAAATAGAGCAGAAAGAGGTTACTTGGCAGGCTACACTTTCTACAGACGCAGGCTGTTTTGTGGTGGGGGTGCTCTACATGGAGCCCCTCGTCTGGATGCTTCTGAGAATTGTCTCACCTTCTTCAGCCTGAGTAAAACTGGAGAAGTGGATGAGATCAGTGATTCTCACACTGGGTCCAGGACATTGGCAATGTGCAATTGGGTGGGACTGTTGCTGTTTAAAAGTTTCCATGGGAGTACGACATTTACTCACAAATGTCCACACAGGACAACTAAATATCAACTGGATGCTGTTCTCTCTGGGGTTCATTTCCAAATCTGTACGTGTGGTTAATGAAGGGGGTTGTGACTTAACAAGTATTGTCCTGGGGACAGACAACACTTCTCAAATCATGGTGGGAGGAGAGGAGCTGAGAAGGAACCTTGCAGTGAAGAGGTTAGCTCTGCTGACTTGGGTGTTGTTTGGGGCCCTGCTAGCACTTAGGCCCCAGGTACACTCCCTTCACAAATATTTGTCCTGTGACAAGGGAGGATGCCCTACTTCCTGCACTGTGCCAGGCAAGCCATGACCCTCAGCCAGGATGAGTGCCATCTTGGTCTTCTCTCTTTGTCCTCCCAGAGGAGTAGATAAACATGTCCTGTGACAGAAAAGCCACCCACACCTGGCCTCCATCTGCGAGTCTGGGCTCCCAGGCAGGGGTTGTGCTGGGTTAACAGCTGGCTGGACTCTTGAGCCACTTGGAGCTTTCTGGGTGCAAATCAGGAGCTTGGGTCCTGAAAATATAGTGTTTCTGATCCTTCATGCTTCTGATGACCTGCACCAGGTCTGTACCAGTGGCAGCCACTCCTTGGTGACTCACGCCTCCCTACTGTGGGCTAGACCTGTGCTTAGCTGTCATGTGGGCCACCATGACAAGTGAGTGAAAGCCACATACTATAGGGGCCAATAAGTGAAGAAACACAAATGGCAGCCGCACAGGGCTGGCCAGCAAAGTGGAGGTGGTGATTCCACAGACTTCGCGGCAGGGAAGGAGGGGACACCCAGGCACCCTGTGACGAGCCTTGAGTCCTTACCTTTGAGCACGTCGCAGCCCATCACTGAGAGGCGGCCGCTCTCCACCAGGTAGCCCACAGGCACATTCCAGCCCACTGTCCGGTTGATGCCCGTGTGGCAGGACTTCACTCCTTTCAGGGTGTTTATGGTCACATTGAAGTTCCTCCTGACTACAGCCACAGCATAATAGGAGGTCCCAACCTCTAGGAGGGAGGTGGAGGAGTGAGGGTGGCAAGGGAAAAGCCTCAAGATGGCCACAGTGCCACTCTGCTGGGAAGGCTGTGGGAATAGCGTGGGTGTGCAGGTGTGGAGCACATGTGTGTACACACGGGTGTACATGGACATGTGGATGGCACTGGATTACAGAGAGAGCAAGAGGGCACAATCCATGTCTTCTCAAGAGACCTGGCCCTCCTCCAGCCTTAAGAGATAGATACTATCCCAAGATAATAATTCATTCACCGTTTCCCCACCTACTTTTCCTTCCCAAGACAGCTGGCGCTGGGCTGCGGCTGCATTTGTGCATGTGTCCAGCTCTGTAGCTGGACAGAAAGCAGAAGTAGCCTGCATGTCTTTTGCTTTCCAAAACCCTAGGTCCTGAGAAGAACGTGGCGGGCTTGAGGGAAGGATGTGGTGGTTATGGGGAGAAGATGGCTCGGAGGGACAGGGGGAGCAGGGCAGGGGCTTCCTGGTGTTGGGAAAAGCAATGTCCTAGTGATGAGGGGAGGGAGAACGAAAAAGAGACAGAGACACAGAAAGTACTAGCAATGTGGTCCCAAGTCACTTAAGACCCTGAGTGGCCATGGGGGGCTGTGTGTCTCTATAGCCTCGCAAGATTTCCCTGGGCCAAGAGTGGCCCAGAAGGGGCCGATCAGACAAGACACAGGTGACTCATCTGTGGGGACTGATGACCCAATGGCCCCCTGTCCCTCTCCTGAGTCTGGCTCCTGCCAACTCAAGCAGTGCTGTCCAGCACCACCTCTGACTCATCCATCCTCCCTTTCCTTCCAGATCCTGGACCTACCAGGCTCTTGCCTACCTGGGATCATTGTCAGGTCTCAGCTTAAATGTCACTCCATGGAGAACCCTCGTTTGCCCTATTTTGTAGGTTTCCCCATGCCCCTCACTTCTCCTCTCATGGCCCTTCCTTTTCTTCACTGTACCCGCCACCTGGGTCACTGCAGTTTTTGCTGCCTATTTGTTCCCTGTCTCACTCCTGTTCTCGGCAGCAGAAGCAAGGTCTCCTGCTTCCTATGCAGTAGGTGCTCAATGGAGGTATTGAACTGAAAAGAAAGAGTGTGTTCAGCCTAACTTCCAGGGAAAGCAGAACTGGACTATGTGTTGTCATGTGACAATCAGTTCAACAAGTACCTAGCTAGTGCCTTCTCTGAGTGAGACCCTGTGTAGAGAACCAGGGGTACACAAAGATGAGAACTAGGTCCTCCTTGGGGAATCACAAGGAAGGGAAGAGAGGCCCTTAGCAAGGGTGAGAGGGGCTCTGGGAAGCTCCTGGGGGAGGTGACCACCTCACTGACTCTGACAGTGGTTAGACATTGAACAGGCAGAGGTGGTGGGGAGATGCCAAGGCAGGGTGAACTGAGGGAAGATCTGCTGTGAGAGGCAGGGATGGGGTAAAGGAGCTCACAAAGCTCCTTCCAATGTGCTCCTGGTCCGTTGGGCTCTGTGGTTCCTCTCTCCACCTGTCCACGCTGCCTCCCACAGAGAGCCATGATGTTTTCGGGTAGCTGAGCATCACCAAAACCTTGGTCATACAGGCAATCATTCATTCAGCTCCATGCCCACCACTGCACCAGGTTTGGTGGCAAAAGTTAGGGGAACTGGACTCCCCATGAGGAAGGACTCAGGTCAATCCTCTGTGTCCCTGGCTTTCTTGCCCAGGGGCTTCAAGAGCGAGCTAGGGGCTTGCCAGAGGGTCTATCAGCCTGGGACCCAGGACTGCTTTGTGGACAGGTCTAATGGCCAGCTCAGAGGCTGCAGGGTCAGCCAGCCCAGACTTGTGAGTTGACTTCTGGGTGGGGGCCTTGCTCTCTCTCCCACTCTGTCCTGTACCTTGATCATACACTTCGCCGACCACAGGCTTCAGGCCATACTCCTTCCCCGCTTCATAGATGGCTCCTCCATCCAGAGTGATGGCGTCAGCCTCCTGGGCCTAGTAAGAAACATGCAGGTCACCCAGTCCTGCCCAACTGGCCTTTCATGAGGAACTCAGGAACGCCTCCAGGTGGCCTAGGGACACTTGAAAAGTCCTGGAGATGTGTGCTGTGCTTTTTGTCTATCCCAATCTGGAGGAGCCCAGGGCTCTTCCCCTTTATCAGGATGAAGACTCACCTTATTTTTCTAACTCTTGCTATTTTTAAAAATATTAATTGTTTATTTTAGAGTATCATAATAGATGCATGTAGTAAAAAAAAATCAGATAATACAAAGTGCCAAGTTATAAAAAGCGAGTCTTCCTTACTTTCCTATTTCTCAGCCCTGTTCTTAGGTTTTTCCTCTCAAATAGTCTATGGAGACTGAATCCCATAGATGCCCTCTTTTTTTCTTTTTCCTTTTTATCTTTAAACATGAATGAAAGTGCACTGTCATCATGTTACGGGAAGAAGGGATGAGATTAGGGTTCAGAGTAACTGGTGTCTGCCCTCACAGTGGAGCCTGACCCAAGGCCTTGGCCCCACGGAGGTCTGCAATGTCCCTCCCAGTCCTGTGCTGCCTCTGAAGACCACCAGTGCCAGTTTAGAGGGAACACTCCTGGCCAAGGCCTCTTTGACTTCTTCCCAGAATCCATACAAGCGTCACTGTGGAAAGTTCCATGGCAGCAAGTAACAACCATGAAAGGTCACCGTGGAAAGGTCACTGCTGTCTGCCCCCACCCCCATCGTGGGTGGTGTCCCCATGCCAGCAGGGGCCTTGTGGAAGGGAAGCCCTGCCTCTCAGACACCTTTCTCCAGCAGCACCCATCTGAGCAGACACTCTCCCTCGGCCTCCAGCCTGGCCTGGGCTGGGAGGAAACAAACTGACCCTTGTTGCCGGGAAACTCAAGAGATCCTATCGCCCAGCCCTAGCAGAGGGACACCGGCCCCTTTCCCAGTGAATGAGGCTGTTGTGCTGTGCACTTCTCCTGAGTCAGAGCCCTCTTGTCTAGGCCAGTGGTGGCAGGAGCAGGGCGGGGTGGCGGGGGAGAGGCCTCACCGTGATGAGCTGGACACAGTGATCAGCAGAGATGCCCTGGATGCAGAGGAGGGAGGGCTGGATGCCTGCTTCCTGGAAGGCCTTGCTCATGTCACTGCACTTCTGCTGCTCTGGATCTGACGTGGTGCACCACCGGACCTCGACTTGGCCGAGCACTGGAGGCAGGAGACAGTGAGGTCTAGCTCCCAACGTGGCCCATCCAAGTGCCCTAAATGGCTCCAGCCTCAGTCCAGATAGCCAGTCCCCTTCAACAGTCTTGCCCTCCCACAGGGTACAGAGACAGGGCAAGGCGTGCTCAGGGCCTCCTAATCAGGGACATTGACAGATTGGGCAGCTCAGAACCTGACCCATTACTGAGGAGTGGACGATCTCCCAGGACAGCTGAGCAGCTGCCCCACCTCCCTCCACCTGCCTAGGTGGAGGCGGAGGCTGGAGGGAAGAAGCAGCACTGCCTGGGAAGCCCCAGCAGGCTCTGTGACTTGGCAAGTTCTGCCTGTTTCCAGGCCTCCAAGAAGAGGGTACTGGCCTGGGGTTCTTCCCTCAGCAGTGTCCCTGGGCCCTCCTGAACAGGGGCATGTGCCTGAGAACAGGTGGCTGTGGTGGGCTGTCCCAGAGAAGCCTGGCTCCTTCTCTGAGTGTCTGTGTTCTTGGCTGCAGTTCAGACCCTGGGACACAAGAGGGAAGGCTGAGGAATCAGCAGGTTGGGTTCAAGTTCCTGCCCCTATAACTGGTGACTTCAGGAAATACTTGACCTCGCTGGGCCTGTTTCCTCTTCTGAGAAAAGAGATGAGAAAACTTAGCTTATGTTGGAAGTAATCTGTGTGCAGAGCCCAGGACACACAGGTCTTCAGTAGACTTGCACTTGGGCCCTTTGATCTGACCAGGTCAGAGACTCAGAGCTCCCAGCAGGGCCCCAGAGGAAGGGGTGCCAGGTTCCCCTGAGGTTGATAATTTTGCAAACCTGAACTCCTCCACTGTTCACCTCCCCAGTCAGACTCCTTGGAGGTCTATGCTCCGGGTTGGGGTTCAATTCTCTCTGCCCAAAAGCCACGTCCTCCTCTTGTGGCAGCCTATGCTGTCCAATCCCTACTTCAAGCATCAACACTGTAGCTGCTTGCACGGCCTCCCCCTCTCCTGACCTGTGGCCACCTAGGAAGGTCGACAGTCTTGCTCCTCCCTACCGGTCCAAACTCCCAAACCTTCCCTCACCTGGAGTCCGGTCAACCGCGGAGTCCAGACAAGAGATGGGAGGCGGGTTAATTTTTGGACTGATGAAGAATGAGCAGTGATGTGAACTCCAGCCCCTCGGCAGTCCCCGCCCACGATCCCTGCTCCCGAAGTTCCCGCCTGACTTAACCCAGTCTCAGGCCCTGACTCCCTTGGGTGCTGACGCGAGAAGACCCACCTTCACGGAGTGGGGGTGCAGTCACCCAGGCGGCTTCCCACACCCTCCTGCCAATCAATCCCTCTAAATACACACCCTCCCCTGGGGGGCTCGGGAAATAAGGCTGCTTTGGTCCCTAAACCCTGCCTGGGTTTCCACGCCTGTCAGGAGTAGCCATCCTGGGGGCCCTCCTCCGGGACACCCTGAGGCTCTCCCCCAGGCGCCTCTTTGGCAAGTCTGGAGAGTCCCTTTTTCCAAGGCCAGGTTCCAGGCCGCCTCCTCCAAGAAGCCATCCGGAGTGCCAGGTCTGCCCCAACAGTGGGAGACCCCCTGCCGTCCTCACCGACCCGCTTTGCCTACTCTCCCGCCCTCGGGGACGCGGGCTCAGGACGCGTTTCGTGGCTCCCGGCCCCGAAGGGCTGGAGAGCTTTTGGGACCCCCGCCGGAGCGCCTGCTCTCACCGCCCGGCGCCAGGGCCTCACCAGTGCGCAGAGCCAGCAAGAGCCACAGAGCCACGCTCCAGCCCCACATGGCGCAGACTAGGTCGGGTTGGGTCTGGGTGCGGGTCCGAGAAGATCAGCAGCAACCGGGATTGCTCGCTCCTTCCTTCCTCGCCCTGGCCCCAGCTACTTAAGTGCGGCCCCAGCGCGCATCCGTGATGTCCACGCCTCTGGGGCGCAGCATCCCGCCCCGCCTCCTCGCCCGGGACTGGACACCTGGGCTGACCAATTTGGCCTTGGCTTTCACTCTGGCGCCTCCTGCTGGGGCACCTCTACCCGCGCGAGGGCAGGGTCTGAAGCCGCGGACCTGGCTCCTTCCCCTGAACAAGCTACCCCGCCTTCCAGACCATCCCCGACTCGTCCTAGAAAGACCTCAAATATCATGTCTAACTGGAAAGGGACAGTTCCGATTTGGAAGGAAGAAGAGATTAGAATCCGGGGAGGCCTCCCTTCAAACACATACGGCTCAAAGGATCTGGGGATATAGAGATGAACCCTGGCAGATATGGTCCTGGCTGTGGAGGGGACTTCACAGTCTGGGTGACTGCCTTTGCTCGGCCTAGAGAGGGGTAGTGACTCACCCCGGATCACACATTAGTCAGTGGCATAACTGGAACTAGAGCCCAGGTCCCCAGCAGAGCTAGCTCCTTCCATCGTGATTTGAAAGATGGGAAGAAGATCCAAGAAGAATAGTAGGAGGAAGAAGAAAAGGCCAAAGGAAGAGGAGGAAGAAAGGAAAGAGAGTGAGGGAGGAAAGGGTGGGCTCTTTTGCTAGGCAAGTGGCTCTCATAGCAGATCCCCAGAGCACCAACATTAGGGTCACCTTGGCTCTAGTTACAGCTCTGCCACTGACCAAATGTGTTGGAAATGCAAATTCTCAGGCCCTACCTCTGACCCCTGATCACAGACTCTGGGGCCACCAAGCTGTTTTTTTGTTCTGGTGCACAGTAAAGTTTGAGAATCACTGTTGTTGGCAAACCAGAGCTGAGGTTCTGTTTGATGGGGATGTGGAAAATGGACTGCAGGGATTGTTACCTGCCTCCAACTATGTCCTCACCTTTTATTATTACCTCTCACAAGTGCTCAGAAATGAGACCCTATTTCTTTGCCAAAGGAAGAGGACATGGGTAACATGAACACTGATGAGTGAGAGGGAAGGGACCCTGGGTCTGGTTTGTCTACCTTTGAGACTGCTCTGTACCCTGAGGAAGGAAGGTCTCACCCCTCCAACTGGGCCACTAAGTAGCTGCTTTGCCTCCCACTAAGATGATGAGTAGAAGGAATATGTGCTGGTCCTCAGTAGACCTGAGCTCTTTTTTATTACTGACTCACCCCTCTTTGGGCTTGTTTCCCCATATGTAAAAGATAGATGATGATGGCTCTGACACTCTCCTTCCCCTCCTGTCTGCTCTGGAGGCATGAGCTGTGGAAGCTGGATCCACTGGGAGGAGGAAGTGTCTCTTTCTAATTTGCATAAAGGTGCCAAATGGATTAGCAGGTAGCCCTGCCACAGGGGCTTCCTAAGAAGACAGAATAAATCTAAGTGTCCTTAGCAAGCCTCCTCCTGACGATGAGGATGTAAAGGCTTATTCTGTTATACTCCAGGAGCAACTGGAAGGTCATTGGCAGGATCAGTGTCTCTTTCTCTCTCTCTCCCTCCCTCCCTCCCTCCCTCCCTCTCTCTCTCTCTCTCTTTTTTCTGGTATTGGGGAGTGAACCCATGGCCTTGCACATGTTAGGCAAGTGCTCTACTACTAAACTACACCCCCAGCCCTGTGTTTATTAAGTTCTTCCTTTGGCAAAACTCCAAGTGATACACACACAAAAAAAAGTCAGAACAACCACAACCTAAGAGTTTGGGTGAACTCTTTCATAATGAGGTCTTTCCCTGATCTCAGGTTCAGACCTCAACTGTGATATTCAGTGAACTTGCTCTCTCTGGATTGCAGAGGTTTCTACTTCAGGCCTATTTGACTGGACTTAGCATGGGCAAGGTTTTGTATTGATGTGTGTAACAGGGAACTCTATCTCAGCTTGAACCCAGAGTCCATTATTTTTGGGATGCAGATATACCTGGGTGTGTCAGAGGAATGAGTGGGATAGATGCGGAACTAATAAGGCAATAATTTAATCCAGGAAAAACCTTGTGGAGGAGCAAAAGCTCTGAGGATGGTTTTGACTGCATTCTGGCCTCTCATTGCAGTTAAGAAGAACAGAAAACATAAAAGAACTGGTTTCACTAACACTTTGGTTTGACGTTGATGTTGGAGCCTGAGCAGTTCTGCTTTGGAGCCCCCTGATCCTCCCTTGTGATATGAAATCCAAAGAACTTGTCTTCTCCCCTCTGCCAAAGACACAGCTGCGGTTCATGAAGGATTCAGGGTGTCCACCAGCATGGAGCTTACTCATCAGGGAATCGAGGAACTGTAGGATACACCATGGGATGGGATAAAGGCAGCCTCCAAGAACTTAGGTTGGCAGGTGGGGACTCATGAGGCAGCAAATGTGGTAGAAAAATTCCTTTACCCACAATCTTAGGAAATTTTTTTTCATTTCAACAAATCATAATTTATATTTTTATACTTTTATGGGCCTCAATGTCTTTGACTAAGATAAGTGATTTTTGTTCCTGAAGGACACTGGGTGGGATTGGTGTGCTGAGGCAGAACCACCAACTTTGCAGCAGTGAGGTGGTACCAATGGAGATCCCACTTTCACTCCTGGTGCCATCTGATATGTGTTTGCCAGCTGCTGAGTATGTCTTAATCTGTATGTTGAGAACATAGGTAGCCATATTGAGCAAGTTTTGTAGATAAAAGCTCTGGCCTCCTTAAAAGTATTTTTTCTGTGAAGCTTAGGGGGACTTAGGGAAAGCCTGTCGGGCTACATGACATTCCCTGTGTTATTATTTCAAAGGCAGAGTCTGTGCTTGATCATCTCTGTACTCATTACAGAGCCTGAAACATGGAGGATGACTTCTAAGCATGAAATATTTAAGCTTTTGAATTTTATTAAGTATTGCTAATTGTGTCTGATGCTGCCAATGGGGAAAGAATGAAGAGTCACAGGATTTGGGGGCTAGGATTTTCCCAAGAGCTCTGGGCAGTTGTGTGGCATGGCAAGGAGGCTGAGCTTTGTGAGAGTAGGTGGTTTATTTTCTACAACCATTCCAGTGGTTATCCACATGGCCAGAATAGAGAAGGTGTTCAACACATAATCATGGTACCACTTACTATAAATTAAGGGAAAAGTAGATAGTTATTTCTTTCAAGATACTTGGCTAAGAAAGGAAGAGCAGAGGGGTTGTTTTCAGGGGCTTTAGGGTCATGGGTAAGTTAGGAGACTTTCAATCATACAGCCAGAACGGAAAGAGCTCATGAAACTGAAGACACAGGAAAGGTGAATAAGTGGAGAAGACGTGAGGGAAGCTCAGCAAGACAGGCAGAGACGATAATCTTGAAGGATAAAGAGACAATGGTAACAGGATGGGGTTAGAGTTTGGATCTGGATTGTTTCCCACAGGCCCATACAATGAAGGCTTGGTCTCCAGCCTGTGGCACGATTGGGACATGGTGGAAACTTTCAGAGGTGGGGCCTGTTGGGAGGTTTTTTTTTTTTTGCCCTCAAAGGATTGAGGGACCCCTACCTTTCTCTTTTAAGATCCAACCATGAGGTAAAGGGTTTTGCTGAAATGCACTCCCACCATGAAGTGCTGCCTTTAGAGGCCTAAAAGCAACAGGTCAGCCTAATCATGAATTGTATCGTATGAGCCAAAATAGTCATTTTCTCTTTATAAGGTATTTATCATAGGTATTTGTTATAGTAGCAGAAAGTGGATTAATTCAGATGTGAAAAGTTCTAATTGGGTCAAGCCTTTAATCAAGTGTAAGTCCCTCAATCTTCAGCTCAGTTTATTCTTTTAATCATCAAATTATGAAAGTTTTATTTTCCTGAAAATTTTACTTGCAGGCCAGAGTTTAAAATGTAGAGGAGGATTATAAAGGCTCAAAGATGGGAATTCTGGAGATGAAGATTTAAAGTCATTAATACATTTCCATCAATTTAATTGAAAATAATTTTAACCTGAGCAAAAACCAGTATAAAAGGAGGTAAAGGGTAAAGAGTAAAATCAAGAACATTGTATTTGGCTCTGTCACTAAGATTTTCAGTGAAATTATTTATACCCCAGCTACTTCCAAGGAGGGTTTCAGCTGACTCATAATGAGAACATATGTACACAAGGAAGATAAAATTGATACAAAAAGAGAAAAACCCCACAAAGCATGTCTAGGAAGGGAGATTATACCAGAAACCAGAAAGGAAATGAGCATAATTTAAAAAAAAATTAATGCTGGGTGTGGAGGCAGATGTCTGTAATCCCAGCAACTCAGAAAACTGAGGCAAAAGGATCCCAAGTTCAAGGTCAGCCTCAGCAACTCAGCAAGATCCTGAAAAAATAAAAAAATAAAAAATAAAAAGGGCTGGGGATGTACTAGATTCAATCTGCAATACAATTTTTTTTTTTTGGTTGATTTAGATTTATGGTCAAATCTTTTTACCCACTCCCATCTCCACCCATCTGCAAATGAAGCCATTGTCAATTCTCCAGCAAGGCTGTTTTCAGCCTGTTAGAAAGCCACAGCAGTGGAGACCTTGCCGTTCGACTGGAGGTGGGAGGTTCTGGAAAAGGGGCTGTGCCCTTTGATCCCTACCCCAGGGGGGTACTTATCTGGGGCAGATGAAAATACTGCTTAATCTGAGACACCCAATGAGGCCAAAGCAGCACAGTAACTACACGCTTAGTGGTGCCTGGATGTCCAGTGGGCACCATAGAAATTCAGACCAGAGGCTATTAACTAGGAAGCCTTCTCCAAAAGAGGGGAGTTTGGAGTGGGCTGTGAAGGAAATTAGGGCTTTGATAAGGGTGTCTGAGTGGGGAGGACATAGCTGTTGGGAGGTGGATGTGGGTTAAGGACCTGGATTACAGTTCTGACACTGGAAATGATAGCAAGAAAAATATGTCTGGGGAGAATTAATAGTATTTGGTGAATAAGTGAGTTTGGGAAAGAGAAATGTCAAAAGCACTAAGGTTAAAGCTCAGGTGACCTTGAAAGGACATTCTATTATGTACAACCACT